ATATATATATATACATACATGCTTTATCTTTTGCGAATATCCTTTAGAATTAATACATTTATTGGAATATTTTATGATTTTATTATAAAAAATTGCTTTTAGAAAACACATATCACTAGAAATGCGATTTGTAGAAAAATTAAAGTTAGTGAAATATATGTACAAAAAATATGTACAAAAATTTTTATTTTAGAGTCTTTGTAAAAAATTTATCCAAATACATTACATTGTAATATTACAGGAACGTTTCGTTGTAATATAATAAAAAGCGGATATCTTAACATTGTTGAAATCTTGCAGCAATGATTCAGCAACGTTTCGCAACCATCATGCAACATTGCAATGTTTTAGTGAAATCATTCTGCAAATGATTCTGTGCTGTATGGGATAGGTACATTGGGCGTTTTCCAGCAAGACACAGTTAGACATTGTGTAACATAGTAAAACATTTCATTCTTGTTTAACATAGGTAAACAACAAGGATATGATAATTCATTGTGTTATACTGTATCTTTGCTGGAAAACACCCATTATTTATATATGGACTATGTGATTTTACAGAGAATTTCATATTTTCGAGAACTTTTTTTAATGCGCTATTTTACTTGCTCAGTTACAGAAATATTGAAGTAAACTAATATGAATTAATTCCAATAAAAACTTTAACCCAAAAAGGAATTATTCTTCTTTCAAATATTATATAGTATGTAAATTATAATAAAAAATTAATAATATCCAGATTAGAAACAGAGGATAGCTTATATGAATAAATTAATTAAGTATAAGAAGTGCTTATGACCAAGTTAAATGTTAGAGTAATACATTTATATGTATTTAAATAATTTAGATAAATTTCATTTGAGGAATATAACTGTTTGCCAATTACGTTCGGACTTGCAACACAATCAAACTAAAATAATAATTATCCCCCCAAATTAGATAGTTGATTTAATGCTACTAATATCTTAAAATTTGGAAAGAACTTATATTTATAAGTATAAGATATCTCTATTACGATAAAAAACATAAATACTAAAAATATTTTTATATATCAATCTATTTACCGTATATTTCATATCATATACATATATGAATATTTATTTGAGATTTATGCATAATAATAATACGAAAGCATTAAATTTTATTTAATTGCTAGTTAACATCAACCATATGCTTCCTAATCCATTCTTAATACGCGGATTCTTTAACAAACTTGTCAGGAATTCCTAATACACATGAAATCACAAACAATGCAATTCCAATATGAACACTCTCTTGGCAGAAAGAGTGCTATCTGAATTACCTATAACATTATGACAAATCGTTATAAACAAACTCATTAATGTACAATTATTTTCCTATTCTAATAAATAAGCTCAAATTAATGATTGTTTAGCTAAAAGTAATAATAATAACCTATGGCTTACAAAGCACACTCCATTCGTGATGAGAGTGCGGATGTGATTATCGATTACTATCGAAGACGAAAGCTTACATTTCTGGGGGGAATTAAACTTCAGAGCAGTTTTTCTTGTAAAGTATTGGGTAGTGTAGATTTATTGAGCTGAAAGAATATTTTGTGTTGATATATAAATAATTCACTCATAATTAAGCAACCCTTTACAGGTCAAGATTGATAGAATATGTTTAATATACGTATATGACTATATACATGTCATATTAAATTTCTTAAAACCTTCTTAAAAAGTGCAAAATATTTAAAAAAATTTGATGACTATGAGATCATTGGATAACAATTGTGTTACTTTTCATTTATAAATATTAGGTCTGTTCTTTATTCATGAACTCTCTGAGCTGATGCATATCCGTACAATAAGTTCAAAGAGTTTTTTAATAAAGAACAGGCCAAGTGACATATATTATTTATATTAAAGTTTCCATTAAAGATTCAAAAGATGTTTAAGAGACTACGATTAATTAATCTAATACATTGCATATCACAGAAAGAATGATTAATAAAATTTTTTATTAAATTTTTGATATTTTATTTGAGCGAATATTTCAACCGTGTGTTTTTTCACTCCTGACTCTTAGAGGAAAATTATTAACTTTTTAATAAAAACTTACTAAAGTTATGCCTCAACCACACAAGAAAGATCTGCGACATCTTTCTGCGTAATCGGAATGTCTATTTTATCATGTCGGTATAGACAATGTTTTTGTTTAATCGGATGAAAAGAACGTCGTGATTAAATCTGATGTCGAAACTATTATGCTATATCACGCTCTCCACTTGATAAGCACCTGATTTCTTTAAATAGATCGTATCCGCAAGAATAATGAATTTCTTGATATTGATAACACTTTGAAAAAGTCATTTTTGTTAAAATGCAGAACAATTCAAATCCTTTAATTTTTTATATTGTATATACTGGTATACAAATATTTAATGTTTTTATATTAAAAGAATATCTTTAACTTTTTATTATAAGAATTTATAAAAAAATCTAAAAATTGTTTAATGGCAATAGAAATTAAAAAAAAATTAATATATTATAAAAGAATATTGTATAATATTGTTGCATCCGTGCGATTCGAGAAATTGCACTCGCGAACACGTACGCGCACTTCCGAGTCGCGGAAATAAAAGGACAAGGTTAATAGAGATAAAGATTTTTTATCCCAAGACATAGACAACATCAAATACAGAAACAGTGAATACGATAAATTAAAGGCTCAGACGGAAAAATAAAACGTCTTCACTATAAAATCTGATGAGCTTGACAATTGGGCAGCTGAGCGGTTCATTGTCGAGCGACGTGATCTTCGGCAATATGGATATCGACACGGCACGGACATAACAATATTATTCAATATAATAAATTGTGTAATTCTTTTAACATAATTATTAAATGTTTAAATCAAAGCTTGTTATAAATATATGTGTATATATAATATATACATACATATATAGGACGTTTTAGAATAACCGTCAAGTATTTTGCGTATGTTAAGTAGAGCGGACTAAATTGACAATAAGTCAAAAAGTCCTCTATCATTTTGCAATTTTTGTAATAGTTAAAAAAATATTAATTACTAAAAAAAAGCCGAATATTAGTTTTCAATAATTTTTTATTTAAGTACTATCAACTTTACAGAAAAATAGCAAGAGACAAAAATTGTTTATTTTCTTTTCTAGAATTCTGAGAATTTTTTAAGAATTTTTTAATACCGCATTTTCTTATGTTCGTAAAAATTAGTTGCTAAAAAAAAAGTTAAATAAAAAGTTCTGAAAAAATTCTCGAAGCTTTATAAAAAGAAAATAAACAATTTTGGTGTCTTGCTATTTTTTTGTAAAATTGATAGTATGTGAGTAAAAAATTATTCAATATAAATATTCGGCGACTATCTTGAAAATTATCGCGAAAATTGCAAAATGGTAGAGGGTGTTTCGACTTAGTTTAATTTAATCTATTTACATACGAAATGTTTGATCATTCTGGGCCACCGTGTGTATATAATATGACGAAAGACGTGCAAAAGATATCAGAATGTGAACGGTTACAATACAAATCATTTACTATGGATACTTATTATTTACGCAATGAGCTACAGTGAGTATATAACGTTTATTAATAATCGATCCTCCGCAACGAAATTTAGTCTCGTATTTCAAAGCAACATGATGTAAATATTTGTCGAGCATCTGAACTGTCGATGATGGTAAATATCATAAACAAAGAATTTTATGAGCCGTAATTTATTTAAATGTTAATCACTTATGTGTAATTTAGTTAAAAGTTTAATGAAAAGATATAAAGAATTTTAAAAAATACATATATTATACATAACGGATCTAAGCACTCACATTATATTCTATTTTTTATTTTTATTCTGAAATTATTTTACAAAAGTTCAGTTAAAAAGAACAGGCCTAATGTAAATATTTAAATAAATCTACTTCTCATTAATATTATAAAAATAATTCTTCAATTCAATCTATCAACTTTAAATTTGAAAATCTCAAGTTGCGACTTATTTGTATTATTAAATACATTAATTTGTTAATTAATTAATTCATGCATTGTTTAATGGAATAAATAAAAATAGAAAACACATATCAAGAAATATTATTGTTGATAAAATGATCATAAAGAGGAAAAAAGCAAAAGATAAAAAGCAAGAAACAGCAAACAAAGAGCACAACCATAAAATAATTGTAGAACAACCATAAAAGAAACATTTTTAAAATTTTTTCAAAAAACATTTTTTATACCTCTTTTAGACTTTCCGGAAAGATGTCTGAAAATTCTTCTTTTGAAGCATGCAACTATTAACATTATCTACTATAACGTATTTATTAAGAAACGACATTAGTTAGACATACCTTTATCTTCCAACTATATTACCAAGGAATATTTTTCCGGACATAATTAAAAAGAGAGATGATATGTGACAGAGTATTTGATTACTTGCGTCACATAAGTCGCATTTCACATTAGATTCTGTGATTTGTAAGGTCCATGATACAAAAAACACTTAAACCCAGTTTCATAGCTCACAGTTAATTTTTAAGTTCAACTTATTTCGAGGTTCAACTTATTTCTCATCTCTTTCCAATTCTAGAATTAAACAGTTAAGCGTAAGCAGTAAAGAAATTAATATGTTGGATTGAATACTGCTTACATTATGGCCATATGATCTTTTCTGGTATCGATTAATTCTCTTACTGCTTATACATACGTTTTATACCTTAAGTTTTTTTTTGTATGCCATAGCAGCTTTAAAGATCAATAGTCATCGATTATCAATAGCTATCGTTGATGTGAGATTGATTATCGATATTTATCGATTATTCTGATAATTAAAAAAAATTTGATTATGTCTACATTTAAGTATTAAAAATTAATGAAATTTTGAGAAAAAATTTACTGCCGACAATGTCATAAAAATTTTCAAAATTTGACGCTATTTAAAATAAAATTAAATGCTAACTATTGTGTTATATTGACATATTAGCGTCATGGTATAATGGCAAGTTACTGATTAAATAATTTCATATAAGTAATCATCAGAATTCGCCACCTAGATAATAGAGGAGGTATTAAGAGGGGTCATTACGTCTACACTGACTATAATATCGCCTTTTCCTCAATACATGCAAATAAACATTATACATTATTACAAAGGAAAAGAATGTAAAGAAATGGGTTTATATATATTTGACTGTACACAAGTTATTAAGCATATCTATTTATTACGTTTCACGCCGTATAACAAGTAGAAACGTTATAGAATAGTACAACATGACCATTTATTACTGTCTATTATCGAGATGTTTGTAATTACAATCGTTGATTTAGGAATTGAAAGCTAGTCCGCTTAGACAATTAAATTTTTCCTTAGAAAGCGCCATTGATATTTCGGCATAGGTAGAATATATCGTAACTTTATTTATCGCAAATTGTAATCATTTTTCTTGCAAATACTACTGAAAGGTGTGGTCACAGATGAAGGCATTGTTTATTATAATTGCATCGTTTGCGGTAGTTTCTTGGTCGATTTATCTTGATTCTACCAGAACTTATTTCCTCACTAAGTTCATTGCTTTCAGTAGAGGGTTCTTTGTACCGCAAATTCCTCTAAAGTCATCAGTATCGATACTCCATGTCATTAGGCCTCCGAGACCTTTTTCTTTGACGTAATCAGCTTTTACTTTAATAGATCTGTAAAAACATATAATTGTTTTAAAAAAAGTTGTAGGCAAAATGGATAATTTTTTAAATGTATTATATAATATATTTTTTTTACACTAATTGATTAATTTAATTATTCTGTTCATGAAAGTATTAAGGTATACGATTATAAAAAAATTAATAGTTTGCGAGATATTTAATATTTCATGTCAATATGCTCCAGAATAAATTACAATATTGTATTGTAGCAATATATTGCTGCAAGTTCTGCACTGTTGGGATATAAAATGTCTCGCAAACTGATTGGTTTTTTGATATTTCAATTTTAATACTATTATATGCAGAATATATATATAATTAGAAAAATCATATTATATTAAAGAATCATATAATTTCATTTAAAAAAGTGAAAGTTATCTTTATATCTTTTTGGTGCCTCTACCTAAAAAAAAACAACGTAATCAAAATACGTTCCTTTCGAAATCGTTCCATTTTCATTTAAAATTTATTTCGTATTTTTTTTACTTACTTTTCAAGATAATATATGTGAATATTAAGATAAAATATCTTGTATACACGTTATTATATACTTGTGCAATAAAACATGTCAATAAATTGAATGAATTGAAAAAGAGAGACGGCGTTATTAAAATTATATTACAGAAAATTATTTATTATTAGTAAAAATAATTGCCATACGAATTTAAGGAATGAAAAGGAGAGTTATAGTAGTACATCAGTATACTTACTGTTCATCTTCATAGCCAACCCACTGATTGCCCTTGTAAGCATAAGGAGATTTTTCCTTATTACCATGTATAACAGTCCAGCCTCCCTCCTTCAATTTTGTGCAAATCTCATTGTATCCAAGATAGCCACCCTCTTGAGTATACGGGCCGGATAAAGATGGTCCAGAGGAAGGAGCTCCAATGCCATTATTGTTACTATTGGAAAGAGTGAAGGCTCTACCGTAGAATGGTACTCCAAGGATTAGTTTCTCAGGTGGGCAACCCTTCTTCAACCAATAGAGTACGGCTGCGTGCTAGAAAAATAAATGTTTTCTTTGAACTTTTTGGAAACGAAATTAATATTCAATAATTTCAAATATCGGATCCGAGAATACTCACAACGTTGAGCTTGTCTCCGCTCGTGGGCGAATAAAGCCCAGCGTGGTGACCAGTGACGCCGTCCCAAGTACCGTGGAGATCGTATGTCATAAGGTTGATAAAGTCCACATTTGCGGCTATTTGGGAGATTGGATCATAAGACAACGTGGCAAGTGACTCGGCAGCACCAACGGCAATACTAAGAATCTTTCCTTTTTTTTTTAATTCGGTTTTGACAGCCTTGAGCATTTCCACAAAGTTTTTTTTGTCTGCTTCTTTTCCACCACGCTGGTTCGGGTATTCCCAATCGATATCGAAGCCATCGAAACCATGTTTGTCCAAAAATTCAGCGGCGTTCTTGGCGAATTTTTGACGAAGAGTTGAACTGCCGGCGACAGTAGAGAATGTAGAAGATCCCTCATTCCATCCACCGATAGCGACCATCATTTTAGTGCTGGGGCTCTTCTTACGAAGATCGCCGAATTTTTTAAAACCGCCCAAGCCATAATTGTCTGCAAGATCATTCCATGCATCTAAAACTCTGATGCTGCCATCCGAATTGATGCCGACAAAGCCATAGATCATATGAGTGCAAAGTGTCGAATCCATTTGTGAGATGTCATATTTGCCATCACCATTTCGATAACCAGCCCAGCTACCGTAGTAGCATACAACCTTCTCTGAAAGAGTTCAGAAAAATGTTACTGCAATTAACATGCACATTCATATCTTTTTAATTGTATAATTCTTTTTTAAATTTATTTCCTTAATCAATACACACATACACACACACACACACACACACACACACACACATACGTGTAATACTTACTTGTTGAGTCGGCTGAAGCCGAAGCAAAAACCGCTAACGCCGCAAAAACCAATAACCAACGATTCATCTGCAAATTTATCGTTGACAAACGTAACTATGCAACTTATATTACTTAATAAAATTATTTTTTATTTTTATTTTTACACAAGTATATGTACATTCGCAAATTGTATTTAACGAGCGTTTTGCTAATAAACATCTGTCACGATAATACATTGTATCACAATTTATAATCCAACAATATTATTATTTGCAAAAATTGCTACTAAAATTATATCGATTTTAATATGAAATAAATTGATCATTAGAATATATTGGTCCTTACCTCGTAACCAGGGGATCGATTTCTTCAGTGAAATTTCATTCGCGCAGACAGTTTATATACTCTATCGAACTGTTTGACCATGATATTATCGATAAATAAGAATATAATTCATTCGTGCGCACACAATATGTATGTACATCCAATTATTAAGATATACTTTCAAAAACACGCAGATGTGTTTCACGTCATTATGCAATTTTGTTCAACACTTGATTCTACAATTATCAATTCACAGACCTGGCTCGAACACCTGTGTTATTTCCTCACTAGCAATGTATTTCAAATGTAATTATTATTAGAACTTTGTCTATTTAAATTTGTTACGTGCAATATGTAATAAAAACTCAAAAAAGACATAAGCGATGCGTTAGAATTCTATTAGTATTTTGTATTATAGAAATTATAATCGAACTTTCGGCTACATTTATACTTTTAAAATCTTAGTTATATTGCAATACACATGTACACACAAAATAATACGTTTTATAATATATTTATATATTGTACATATAATCAATTAAGTATTAGATAATATATTATATGTATAATTGACTGAAATATCGACTGAAATATCACTTTTTCAATATATTTTGCTATTAAAATCTTGTCACGCTACATCTTCGTAAATCTTTATTACGTAAATATCCCACGAGTGCAAAATATCAATTCATATATATCATTATATAAATTTACATTCAATCTCGTATTAATAAGTATCTAATAATAAATAATTCAACAAATAAACTCACATTGTAGATTGTGACATTTATAATAAACGATGCATAATCAGTATAAAACGATGAAAAAAAGAAGAGAAAAAAAAATATATATATATATCTACGTACTAAAAAACAAAAAACAGTCATTGGTGGCACTTCAATTAAATAATATTTTAAGAAAAAATATAATTACAAGCGTATATAATTCAATAAGGTATAAAAAAAGTAGCGATTTGAAACGAGAAAGCTTGGGATAGAATCCATTTACAAATTATTCTAGATACATAGGTCTCCTTTTATTGAAATTATTGATCGTTTATTCCTTGAACTACCTTCCGTCTGAAAAAAGTAAAAATCCACAATAGGAATGCAACAAAAATCCGCAAGAATTAACTACCTTAAATAGTATTAATTGTCAGAGCCAGATCGGATACGTTTCTAGGTTTTAATTATAATAGAGAAATTTTTAATGAACACAGTGATCTGTCGTGTCATTCATATGTATAGAGAAAAAATTCATCGGCATGTAGTCTTTATATAAGTAGATGTTTGTACTATATATCTCGAATATTTAAAATATTAAAACAAATATATAAAATTATATGAATCGTGATATGATAAAATATACTTATGATCATACAATATATTTGCTTATTTATGATTTAGATAATGCCCAATTTGTTATTAATAACAAACTCATTTTTAATTGCCGAGTATATTAAACTCGCTCATGTAATTACGAAACACGCTCATCACTAATTATCTTTTAAATAAACTATTCTAATTTTACTCTTTACCGATCGTGACAATAAGTAAAAGATAATTGTAATATATAGAATTTTATTTATTTTTATTTATTATTTCTATTAATTTTTATATTATATCTACTAACTTTGATTTACAATGCAGAAGTAATAATTTTCAGTACTTTTCGAGTAATATGTTAAACCTACGGCCGGCACACTATGTATGCGCGATATATTTTTATGAAAGTAAATTAAAATTTCTAGTCAGTCTATAAGTTATGTTTATACTTAAACTAAGTAATCACAATTTTCTCCCAACATTGTTTTGTATTTCCAATTCTTCTAAAGAAGGAACTTCTAATAATGTTCCATAATCAACTAGGATATTCGGAATCTGGCTTAACTCAACGTCTTCTCTTTTCTCTCTGTAGATGTTTGTACTGCATACGTGATTCAAAAGTCTGTTAATATTCGTTTAAATTAACAGTATTTTTTTCAGCCGCAACTAATGTTTTCCTTGATATCTTCACTCTTGGCTGGATCGCTATAAAAAGAAAAAGATATATTATGAAGTTACGTGCTATTTTTTTTAAATCTAATAAATACGTTTTTAACAATTGTAGCTGCAGCTGTAAGAAATAAGAATATAGTTAGTTTACTGTTAACCTTAGGATGGTATGTACATTCCCTTTGAGAATACTGCTATCATACTTTCTACGTTAGGGCAAAGGATAATTTATTTCCTCAAGAGATGGCGCTATTGTGTATATAATAAAGGACAATTTCTGAAAGTCAGTAAAAGTAAATATAAATGAAGAATATATAAGTACATTATAAAGATTTTTACGTAACATGTAATTTGTTATTTATATATTTTATTAAATTATAATGTTATTTAAATTTTTTTATTTTGTTGATTTCATTGTATGTTATATAATGCACTATGTAATTTCTATAAATTAAAAAAATGTTTTAAAAAAGTTGAATATTGTGGAAATAGAAAGTTTAATAATAATAGTAAATAATGTAATAAAAAATATTCTATGTGCAGTTATAGAGAATATTAATTATACAGAATATATTGTAGAATATAGAATATTTTAATTACTTATTATTCTTTATCATAAAAGATATTAATTTTCTACTGAATTATATTATTGTTGTTTATTTATATTCTTGAAAAAAAATTAAAAATTAAAAATACTTTTTGCAATAAAAATCTCTAAATAAATTTTTTAATTATAGTATTTTCGTAAAGAAAAAACTTTACAGTACAGCTATAGAAATAAATAAATAAATAAAATAAGAATTTTATTTACAATGCAAGGAGAATTGCATTAATAAAATATAGTATTATATATTTAAACGTTACGTAAACTCACTAGAATACATTTGTTATAATCTTAGTAACTCGCTCTTTGCAGTACATTTAAGAAAGCACTCGAGCAAATAAAATTCGGACAATGGCATAAACGGAACTCATGGTAGGTGAGATTTCCTTTACTTTTGTCTTTTACTTTTCGAAAGTTTCAAGATGTCCGCTTTGTTCATGTACTAACGCCTGAAAACTTCATAACGAGAGGAACGGGTTGAAAGACACTATTTGCAAATCATTAGTCTGACGATAAAGGCGTGCTCGAGATGAAGAGGCGGAAGTCTCTTCAACTTGATGTCTATATAAGAACAAGCAAATTGCGAAATAGCTTTGAGAATTTAGGCCCATCGCTTCATCATACGCCTCGTAAAGTTGCAACTTCGCGTAACTGTGCACTAAGAGAGACATAATCGTTAAATCGAAACTTTTCCTCGATCTCCATAAGGATTCAAAACAAAGAATATGGATTATTTTTTAATATTAGACGGCGGATGAATGTTTTAAAGAGATCTCTTTCCAAGATGAAAATTTTAAATTACACTCTACAGAGAAAAACAAAAGTCTGCGCCTCGCAGAAGTGAGCACGTCGCTCCGTCATTAAATTCATTACGCTCAACCTCGTTTATCTAATTTCTATTTAATTAATATTAGATGCGAAAATAAAATTAACAATAAGTTTATAATGTACTACATACAAAAATTTTCAAGGGAGAAGATATTCTATATACAAGATATAGAATAAGTAAAAAATATATAATTTAAATTTATAAATCCTGAATAATAATATATTTTCTATATATCTAATTAATATTAGCTATAAAAATAAAATTGATAATAAATTTATATTAATAAATTATTTGGAAAGGATGTCTTTGTTGAAATATCTAAAATTTTAGCTAGATGCAGATCTGAAAATAATTTTGTGTTAAAATAATTAAATAAGATACTTAATTTTTAGTTTCTAGAATGTTAAAATTTTTTGTAGCATTATTCATCATGCTTGAGATTCCTAAGTATTTTGATTGTACAATAAAATTATTCTTTTTGTATAAAAATAAATATAAATATGAATATAGATATAAAAAAATTTTTGAGGGAGAATACAAGATATACATAGAATTATTTTAAAATACATAACTAGTAGTTACTTAAAGTTATGAATTCTGAATGATAATATATATATATACGTGTATATTTTATCTATCTAATTAGTATTAGTTATGAAAATAAAATTAACAAGTTTATAACTTTGTACTATGTACAAAAATTTTTTTAAAAATAAAGTAATATAATTAGTATTTACTAAATAAATTAATATTTACTTTATAAATTTTGAATAATAATCTAATAATAATTTACATTACGTTTATATATCATAAATAATTAAAATTAATTAAAAATGTTTTATCTTTAATTATAAGTTAATAGACTTTTCTGCATAACATATACCACTTAAAATGCTTATTAACTATATATTTTCGTATGTCATTAGTTTATGTTATATCAAGTAAATTTTAGTTTATTTTTAATTTAATATTCTCGCAACAATATATCAAAAAGTGTATCATTTAAAACGTTGCAAATATATTTCGTGATAAAATCTCATTTAAACAGAAGTAAATAATTTCTTTATTGTACAGCCACAAATGAACATCCTACTCTTTAGGATGATTCTTATGAAGTAGCGGGAAATAAATAAAGGGGATCTGCAATCCCCAAGGATCGGGTGCGAAGGCGATTGCGAATAACAAGAACCCTTCGCCTAGCATGAGTCTTGATCCTGTTAACGGGATCATCCTGGCATCCTCGATAGGACCGTGAGAGAAAATTAGGCGCGTTTGAATTTCTTGTCGCGTTGCACGAATATTATCTCAATAGTTCGAATAACAAGCACAAAATAAATTTATTATTTGCTGTGCAAGTTTATCATTCCTCCATAAAATTTATTATAAGAAAAGTCACTTAATGATAGATCTTTTTATTATTATTACAGAAAGAATGATTTTGTTAAAAAAATTTTAAATTTTGATGAATTTGTGCGTGTGTGTGTGTGTGTGTGTGTGTGTGTGTGTGTGTGTGTGTGTGTGTGCGTGTGTGATTATTAATATCACAATTTTTTACAGCATTACTATTTTCTAGTTTCCAACATAATTATTTTGATGATCCAACAAAATTA